TGCAGTAAAAAGAACGACTCCCCAAGGTCAGACCGCGCCACCAACGAGGACTCCATCGACCAATCGACACTCGTCAACCACAGGCAATCTACCGCCAGGGGCCCAGACGCACGCGGCCACGGAATTTCTAAGCTCGCTTCTCTGCCAGGACCCTCCAAGCCCGCTCCAGCATTCCAAACGACACAGTATGCATCAAAACTACATGGGCGTAGTTCTTAAAGGGGGCCAGGGGGGCCTCAGATATGAGATCGCACCATGGGCCAGGCTAAGACGCAAGGTGGGCCGTAAGGGACCCCACCCCGACCCTCGACACCAACGAAGGCCCCCGCAGCAGCTCGGAGCTTACGGAGCTCAGTGTCGGTCGCGACCAAAACTCCACTACAGAGACTAGCCCCTGGGAGCAGACCAGTTCTCCAGAGGCGCGAAACTTCGTTGCCTGCAGCATTGCGCCGCGGGAAAAATCCCACGCGTGCGAATATTCAGCTCAGGTGGGCGGGCTCGCGCAATCGGTCTCCTACGATCCTGCCGTGACAGCTCGTGTCCAAGATTGCGCATGTTGCGCGTGGCCCCCATGCCTGGCGCCGCTAGCCCAACGACGGCGGGCGCGACGGACCGCGCGGCCGCCAGCTACATGCCCCGACTTGCCAGAGGCCGAAACCTGCAGAATTATACCAAACGGCATCGCCATCAGCCTTAGCATTGGCCAGCGCACCCCAGAAGCTTTTGACCCCGCCCACCCCGTCCACGCGCCCCCCAACCCACTGCGTCGCGAGGTCGCACGCGAAGGCCCTCGGGGCGGCATCGCACAGCTGAGCTCTGCGAACAGCGCGCATTTTGAAGGGGGCGAGGAAGGAGGTGGAGCGGGAGCAACGGGCTCAAGTAGGAAGCGAAGGCCTCCAGAACTCGCGGTTGACGGCGGCGCTCCAACACCATCCAAACCACCCGTAGTGGAAACCCACGATGACGGGCTTCGTTGCGCAATTCACCAGGACTGATGGACTCATGGCAGTTCCATGCATCGGCCGCAGCTGTTGCCGTGTGCCATGCCAGAAGAGACGCAATCTCTGCATACATATTGCGTTCAAATGTCGCAGCCGCCGAGCTCCGCCCAGCGCCACCTGCGCCCCAGACTTCGCTCATCTCAGTAGTACTGGCGACCCATCGCTCTGAAATGGCACCGCGCGCCCGCGCCCGAAGTCTGGCACGAGAGGTGACCAACCATATCCACCGTGACCCTCCGCCCTCTGGAAAATCTGACCAGCGCAGTGAAGATCCGACTGTCTGGCCGGCATCCCATGGACTCACATCTGCCAAACAATCGAGAGATGACAACAAATCTGATATCTGATATGCGCCACAACGCTTTCGGTGATTTGCTTCTCCGCCCAACAGCCGCAGCCCCCTTGAACGTCAGACGGGCCGACCGAGGAACGGCAACTGGCACCTCTGGCAACCCGTCCCCCTGGTCGATGTCCGAAGGCTTGTGGACCTGTGCGAAGCCATGCATAGTCCAAGTTCGCTTCCACTTGCACATCTCTCTATCAACCAACTGGCGAGCACTTGCCATGGAAGTCTGGTCTATGACTTCCTGGAGAACATGCACTCGAGTCAACCGGCGAACTCGACTGGCCACTTTCTCAAGATCCACGAGCCCAAGACCTCCAAGCATTCGGCCGCTCTCGTTCAAAATTGAGACGCGCGCCCGCGGCAGCTCTCAGGAAGCCCCCCGCGAGCTCGCGAGCTGCATCTTCCAGCCGCGCCTCGATACCACGTCTTAAAAACACTTGGGGCCCAGGCCCAAGAAAAGGAAGCAGGGGCGATCGACCAATCCTGCCATGGACCGCCGTAGTTCAATGATGATATGCAAGAGCCCCGCGGTCTGAGTCATTGAAACTGCGCGCATCAGATCAGCAGCCATAAGCTTCTGAGCCCTGGCATAAGTCAGCTGCCACGTCTGGCGCCCATGCTTCTACCGTCTAGCTCCCACCTGCAAGGCCGCCTCCCCCGCGCCCTGATAAGGGTAACGTCGTGGCGGGCGCCGCCCCAGCTTTGAGAGAGCAAAAGGCCACAGGCTGCCCCCGCCCAGCATGGGCCATGCGCTCGCGATGCGGGTGGCCCCACCTATCCGAGAGCTCGCATTCAACGACAAGGACAACCTGGCCCCACGCGCGCTGAAGTCCTACTCGATCCCAGGCAGCATCGACGCAGCGGAGGGCCACCTGCCACTCGACGTCACGAGGCAATCGCGCACGTCCCATGGGGGCCCTGGACCGCGAGCCGCGGAGCTTACAACTCTTAGGGCACGCGCGCCCAAACTTCCACGTCTTCCACCAACGCAGGAAACTGCACAGGGAGATGCGGATACGCGGCCGCAGCCTGATCCACAAAAGGTCGCGAAATGCGCGTGGCAAAAATGCTGCACGTGATGCCATAGTCAACGGTCGGGAAAGCACCGTTGACACATGTAATGGCACGAGGAACCGAGCGCAGCCCTTGAAACCCTTGAGACCAGCCTGTCAAAATTGACGAGTCCATGCTGACAACACCTAGACATATCAAATCCAGCCGTAATGTGTCTAGCACCGTAAGGTGATGCTGCAAATGCGCTCGCATATACGCATTGTCCTCACCCAGCCCAACTGAATCATGGATGTGCGCAGTCACCACCACAAGACCGATCTCAAAACCAAAGTGGACATGCGCTGCGCCCAATCGTCCAGGAGCAACATCTGCCTCAGGGAATGAAGCTGCCGTAACTTAGATGTGGGACCCGGCCAACGCACGCGCACCTCCTGATGTACCACCCGCTTCTGTAGGAAGAGCGCGGTAGCCTAAATCCTTGACGCGCCCCTGCAACGTGGCGAGATCAGGGCCAATGGCGCGGCGTTCCTGCGCCGCGGCGATGCTGCCGGGTGGCCCAGCAACCAGATGCCAAACAACAAGTCCGCCGCGAGATACTTTCACGGCGTTGATCGTGCCTTTAATGCCGAGCCTCTCGTCGTGGCCGCCCAAACTGCGCGACCGTCCTGACCACGCATTTCCTTGAGCCGCATCGGGCGCCAGTGGGGAAGAGGAGGCCGCTGCAGACAATGCCACCTGCGGCGAAATAGAAGTTGCCGGCGTCGCTGCCGCCGAACCATTAAAAACTTCCTGCGAGACCATCACCATGCTCACAAGGCTATGAACTTGAACGCGATTGCAACAACAGCCAGTCATATTAGTACGGTGACCAACACTTGGCAGCATGAACCTTATTGGCCATGGAACGGAGGCCACGCCCCCCCCTTCGGGAGGCCCCCAAAAAAGCAGACCTTCTGCAAATTGGTGCCCGGCATCGCCACGCCGCAGTTGTCGAAATCAGGGGGCTCGTCGAGATTCTCCTCTGCGCGAGGCCGTTTCGCCGTCGGCTCTTCCTGGTAGGCCTCGTCGCGCCCTCGCCTCGGTAGAACCAACTGATCCACCAACGGGTTGGACCTGACTGTTGCCACCAGCTCGCCAGAGACGCCCGCGGCCTGCAGGAGCCTTTCCATCGCGTTCAGGTTGACATTACCACCCGCTTCGCGCTCAGCATCAGGATCAAGAGGCTTGGCCACACCACTGCCAATGGACCGTAGCTGGCCATCCGGGTCCGTGATCGTACAGCGTTGAGCTCCCAACTTCTCAGAGTGAGACCTGACCTCTTCCAGAAGCCTGCCGAGCTCTTCTTCTTGGACTGGCTGGCCTTGGTGAGCCTCTCTATCTTGTAATTCTCATTCTGCAACTTGGTGGAAAGTCGTCTGACCTGGATGTTGACAGGCTGCTTGGAGCGACGCAACATCATGCAATCCGATTCGGCCTTCGAATGTTGCTCTGCCATGGCCTCCATTCCCAGCCACTCCAACACACGCCGCACGCATCCTCGCAGTACATGCGCCAACCAGCATTGACCCAAGGCTGTCCAGAACGCTGAAGGCAACAGCGACATTACCAATCTTGTTCCTTCTTCTCAGCACCGCGTCCTGCAATGTGGCCCTGGGTTCACGGCGCGCTGGTGCCGTAGCGTGTAAGCAGCAGGCGGCAGCGCAAAGCTCCCCGCCTGCAAAAGATGTGTTGCCTCCGTGTGAGGCAGAAAGCTTACGAGCCTTGAGCCGCTCCCTCGGCTGCAATGATGCTCCCACCGCGGGGGCGACGTTGGGAACTTGAGCCTAAATGGCTACGGACAAGCCGAAAGGGGGCGACCCACGAAAAGGAGGCGGGAGAGGGGACAGTTCAAGGGCCTGGACAAACCTACAAGCGTCTGTCAAACACGCGACAAAAGCGCCATACAGCTGCAGAGCTGCACTGAAAACGGCTGAAAGCGGGCGCAATGAGGCCAGCAGCAAGAGAGACGAATGGGGGCGGCCTAAGGCGAGGTGGCGGGGGCCGTTAAGCGGAGCAAAAGCTGGCCAAGCCTACGCGAGCCACGGCGTCAAGAGGTGACTCGCCCTGGGATTCTGGAAAGATGTCGGGGCAAACCTTGGAACGGCGAGAAAAGCACTCTGCCCACCAGTCCGTTCCGGCAGGAACAGCGCTCTGGATCCAACACATCCTGCAAACGAACACACTGCCCACCAAGCAGAGACAGCCGCCTCGCAAGCGCCCGTCGTGGGTGCGACCCCGCAGCGGGCGCGCTGCGGCTCCTCGCACGGCCTGCAAAGCACGCAGCGAGAACGCCGCCGCTACTGCGCACCACTATCCAGAGCTGCTTCTGAAAAGTCTGGCGCGTCACAGGGCGGGCGAAAATGTGCACCAAATGTTCGGCATTCAGGGCACGTGGCCTCCGAACTTGATCCGGACCTGCCGAAGGAGAAGACAGAGGCGAGGGAGGAGAGTAGAGAGGAGCAGCTGCAGCACAGGACAGCAGGAGGGATCGGGATGAGGGAGGGAGGATGATGAGGATAAGGCTGAGATCTAGGGATGGATGGAGACGAAGGCGGAAGAGGAAGAATCATGACGGGGGAGGGGAAGGCAGGTGCCAAAGCCTCAACCGCGCTCGCTCCGCCAGCTTCGCGCCGCTCGACATGTCTTCCGACGTCATGGCAGCCAAGCTCGCAGCCTGCGTGCGGCTAAAACGTAACATACATGTATCACTCTCCTCCGTGTCCATCCCTTTTGCTGGCCATCCCCATACTTGATTCAAAGTCCTTCCTCCTCTCCTCTCTGTGTCTCTCTCTCTCTCTCTCTGACCTCCCTGCGTACTCTCTGTGTTATCGATATGTGCCTCCTCTTCCTCCTCCTCCTCTTCCTCCTCCTCCTCCTCCTGCTCCTCACTGCTACTTCTGCTGCTGCTGTTGCTCATCATCCCTCCGCCTCCTCCTCCTACTCCCCCCTCCTCCTCCTCCATCCTCCTCCCTTCCTTCCCCCTCCTCCTCCTCCTCCTCCTCCTCCATCCTTCTCATCCTCCTCCTCATCTCCCTATCCATCTCCCCCTCTCCTAGCCGACCCTCCTCTCTCTACCCCATCCGCCTCCCACCTCGCCCTCTATGTCCCTTTTCATCTTCCCTACTGCATCTCCAGCCCTTCTTCTTCAAGTACGGCCTACGCCCCTCAGATGCTGGCTCTACTCCCCGAGAGAGCTAAGTATTACAGCTGAGTCCATGTTTTCTTGAATGCAATAGTTTTTGTGCAACATTCGGATCGACATCCTAGCAAGGAAAACCAAACTGTCTCCGTGCCCCCGTCCAACATAATCCCGAAATCAGAACCACTCCTGTGTCTCCCCCTGAATCCTCGCGCGACAGTCCACATAAGACGGCTCCACTCTAAAGGCCCGCATTCAACATTCTTGACTCCTTCCTCTTCTTCCTCCTCCTCCTCCTTCTCTCTCGTCCTCAATCCTCCCTCCATCCCATCCTCCCTCTGCCTCCCATCTCTCCCCTCCTCGTCCTCCTCCCCCTGCTCCTCATCCCCCTCAGTGCTCAGCCCCCGAGCCCCGCCTGCACGCTGCCTCCACGGAGCCCCTCGCGCAGGCCGCCGCGCGGGTCGCTGCGCAGGTTGAAGAGCACCGCCCGCGCCTGGCGCGCGTACCGCTGCGCCTCCGGGAGCCGCTGGAAGAGCGCCTCCTGCTGGCGCGGGGGGGGGGGGAACCAGAGAGCCAAACAACTGCAGCCGTCGTGTTACGTACCATGACGAAACCCAAATGAGCGACGATCAAAAATGGGTCTTGAGCGAGATGGCACAGCGCCCTTACGCGGTGGCTCACGCGGGCCCCCAGCGCGGCACGTTACATTGGGAACGAGGGCGCTCACGCGCGAGCTTACGCGGGCAGCTTAGGCGCCTATGTCGGTGAAGACGACCCCATGTGCCTGCGTCGCCCAAAGAAGCAAGGGGCACTTCTGCCCACGGCGAACCACGGCCACGAACAGGTCTCCTGCCAAAACTTTGGTCTAAGCAGCGGTCCGAAACACGGAGCCCCGCCCAAACCCAAAAGTCACTGCTTCGGTGCCACTGCTGTTACTGCGCGTGAGCGGTTGGTGTCGTGTCGAGGTGAGCGTTTGTATGCTGCCGAGCATGGCTTGTTTCCGAGCCAGGTAGGTTATGGTCGGCTCGTGCCTTGACGATGTGGACCACGTTAGCCCACACCGCGTGGACCGTTCATTTATTTTGTTTGGTCAGCGAAGCTGAAACGCAACGCTTGAGGACAGCATTTCAAAGTGCAGGCCGAGATGTTTGCCAGCGAAGCTGAACCGCAACGTTTGGGGACTGTAGTAAGCTTTCCTGGTTGAGGGAAGTCCCTATGTCCATGTGTCCTTCAATGCTGATGCAACACTAGGGTACCGCCGACTAAGCAGTCGAATTCTTGCGTGGAAAGACTGCGCAACAGTGCCAGCACCCCCTGCCCTAGCATTATGGAAAGATCTCCGCTGCCAGGGACTCAGATGTTCTGGACTTCGCGCCAGAGTGTGGCTGCAATCGATCCCTGCTGGAACCCTGCAGGACTCCCACTTCAGTCAGTCTCTCTACCACAAGCCGAGCTGCTACCATCGGGAACGCCCAAAAAGAGGGAAACCCAGTTTGCCGCCCCATCCCCAACCACATGGAAGAACGACGCGCCCCTTCAGAACCCACACTTTTCCTCAATTCGGCATTTTGACCGCTGGGCGGCCCCGCGAAACCGTGCGCCGCGGCTGCGCGCGCAGGCGGCGCACGAACCTGCCAGAGGCCTCCGTAATTAGAGGCTTCAGGAGGAATTGGAGGGGGGAAGAAAAGGTACACTTCACGGGTCCTGAAGGCGCCATTTTGGACCCAAAATGGCCCCGCTGGGATGCCCTAAAGGGCCCCTTTCTGCAGCCCCCGCTGCCCCCCACTTTGCGCCAGCCGTTACGCGACGCCCAACCATAGGCCTTCGTTGAGGACTCCAGGGTAACATCGGGAGGGTCTTCCGGTGCCCCCTGGAGGTCCTTCAATGAAAAGGAATCCTTGTAGGGACCTATGAGGAGGGAGCGTGGAGGGAGGGCTTACATCGGGGTCTTGGGTTCACACTGGTCCTTTTCCTCCTCATCCTCCTCCTCCTCCTCCACCTCCTCCTCCTCCTGATCACCATCATCCTACTCCCTCCTCCTCCTCCTCCTCCTCCGCCTCCTCCTCCTCCTATTCCTCTTCTTCCTCCTTCGGCGGAGGCCTCCGCGGAGGCCTCTTCGAGTATCCTCGGGAGGTTCCCCATGAGTCCCCCCAGAGGTCCCCTGGAGGCCTCTAGTGCCGAAGGGCGCGCGGGGTGGTCGGCGAGGGCACTCGTGGCAACAGAGATCCGATGCTCCGAAAAATTTGGAGCGGGTTGATTTCGGCCTCTGGGGGCCCTTACCGGGCCTCGGGAGCGTCAACAAAACGACTCAGGACGAAGAACTGGCCCTGGGGAAGCGGTCCGGACCTCTGGGGCCCATGCATCGGGAAGAGGCAGCCCGATGTCTGGGGCCCCGGGCAAGAATGCGACAGGCGTCCGGAGGCGTCGATGCCAGGCCTCGGCGACGATATCCGAGCCCCACCCTCGCCGATCTACGATCCAGGCAGGTCGATTGGCGGCGAGGGCAGGGTTCGGAATTTGGCGAGCACGTGGCGAAATTCGAGCCCTACCCCTGCCCACCATCGGATCAGGAAAATCGATGGTTGGCAGGGGTAGGGTTCGGATGTCGTCACCCAAAATGCTAGTTCCTGCCTCGGTTTGCGCGCGTTCGGGGTCCCACCCCTCACAACATCTCTACCTGTCAGTCGGAAGAAGTAGGTGGAACATGAAGTAGGAAGGCGGATAAATCAGATTGCGTTCGGGCCCGCCCGAATAACAAGAACAACCAACAAGCAGATGTCGTTTCTTTAAGAATGACGGCGCTTGAAAAATATTGGGATCTAGATGTCAAACAAAATTGCACGCCCGAGATGGGCACAGAAAAAAATGACACGATGCCCACCAACGACTGTGGTCCGAAACCGACAGCGGCCGTTGATGGGGTAGGCGGCCTTCTGTCTCAAGTGGAAAACGATCGCGGCCTCGCCGACAGCGAACACTGTTCAGAATGAACGAGAACTGCTGCTGGACTTTGTACCCATTGTCTCCGTACCCATTTGCCCGATCCCAGACAGTCATGCGACGTCCTGATTTTTCAAGTAGGCTTGCCTCATCGGCTGTTCCTTCGTTACAAATTGGTGTCTCGGGGGGCTACTTTGCCCGTTCCTCGGAGGTTCCCCAAATTGTCTTCCTCGGTTCATCGCTCGGGATCCCCGGCTTCCTCGGGTTCCTCGGGTTCCCCGGGTTCACTGGATCCCTGGGTCCTCCGCCCCCGGTGCCTCGTATTCTTATTGTGCCCGTTCCAAGCAATGCCAACCCATGCCAAGCAATATGCCAAGAAATATACCAAGCAATATGCCAAGCAATATGCCAAGCAATATGCCAAGCAAAGCCAAACAATGACAAGCAGTGCCAACCCATGCAAAGCAAAGCCAAACAACGCCAGCCCATGCCGAGCACTGCGCCCATGCAATAAGAAACTGTCCCCCAAGTGAAGTCGCGCTGGGTTCATTTCGATACGTGGTCCCCGGAACTCCCGACCCTTTCCCCAGGACCGGTTTTGCGCCCTGATCGTTCGTTGACCGTCCCGGGCCCAGCGAGGGCCTCCACGGGCCGAAAACGGCAAACGACCATCGCCTTGACTTTCCCCAACTAGGCATGCCCAATCGGTTGGTACTTGGTTAATCATTGGTGTCTCGGGACTCAACCTTGCCTGTTCCCCCGACCATCCTCGGGTTCTCCTCGGGTCCCTCGGGTTCCCCAGCTTCCTTGGGTTCCTTGGCTTCCTCGGATTCCTCGGGTTCCCCGGCTTCCTCGGGTGGCTCTTCGGTTTCCCCGGGTTCCTCGGGTTCACCTGGTCCCTCGGCAATGCCAAGTGATGCCAAGCAATGCGAGGCAAGGCCAAGCAATGTCAAGCAATTTCAAGCAATGTAAAGCAATGCGATGCAATCCCAAGCAATCCCACGCATCGCCATTCAATGCCAAGCAATGCAGAACAGTGCCAATCAAGGCAAACCAATGCCAAGCAATGCCAAGCAACGCCAAGCAATACCAAGCAATGCCAGATAATGCCAGGCAATGCCAATGCCAACCCATGCCAAGCAATGCCACGCGATGCCAAGCAATGCCAAGCAACGCCAAGCAACGCGAACCAATGCCAAGCAACGCCAAGCAACGCCAAGCAATGACAAGCAATGCCAAGCAAGGCCAGGCAATGCACCCCCATGTCAAGCAGTGCCAAGCAATGCCAAGCGATGCCAACCCATGCCAGGCAATGCCAAGCGATGCGCCCAGCGATGCGCCCGCGTAACTTGCTTTCCCCTAGTCGGGATCGCGCGGGGCTCATGTTTGCCTGATCAGGCTTGCCTACACTGCGGCCGTCCCTCGGGGGATTCCTCGGGTTCCCCCGGTTCCTCGGGATCCCCGCCCCCCGCGCTTCGTATTCTCACGTTGCCCGTTCCTCAAAGGTTCCTCGGGTCCCAAGAGTCTCTCGGGTTGCCCGCCCCTGGTTGCCAATTGCCCCACGTACATGCACAAGTACATGCATACAAACGTACGTGCAATACAATACAGTACAGCTCAGCGTAATAGAAAACAATACGCCACAACTCATTGATACGCACAGGAGGCACTCCGAGGATGTGGCCAAGGTGCAACGCGCGCAATGGCGACTTTACCGCGCCGAGCAGCGCGCAGAGTCGAACGATGCCCTCCAGACATTGAGGAAGCGCTATCACGAAACGCTTGACGTCCTCTAACAAACAATGCAACAAAAACCTTAGATCACGCCCGCAACGTATCTTGCCACCGACATGGTCGTCGCTCCCACGGTGTAGCCGGGAGCGCACAAAATAGAGCGTTGCAAAACCTCTGACCAGAATGCAGAACCAGAAGCGAAGGAGAGTGCCGCGTTGCAAAGCCTGTGACCGTAGTGCTGGTGTAGATGACCCCTTTGAAGCCCAGCTGTTCTCAGATGGCTGCCGCAGCTTTTTCCTGGTAGCGCCCACATCGTCAGGAGCGTTGGACAACAAATTTGGCCACGCTGCGCGCGAAAACTAAACCTCGAGGCTGTACCGGCACTCCAAGCTCATCTTGGATTCCAGTTGCGCGGGCGCGCGGGGATCATCTTGTCGAGTTCGCTCTGGGCTCGTCTTCAAAAAGGAAATCTCCTAATTGGGGTCGCGACGGGCTCATGTAGACAAAACGGCGCGATCGTCCCGAAATAAATACCTCCTTTCTACGGCCGGCTTGCGCTGGCCGCTGCGGCAGCCGCTGCTGGCTGGGGCGCGCCACGGGGCGCGCCCTCGCCCTCCTTGCTTCGCCCTGCCTTTTCGGGGCCTGCTTCTCCCAGAAGAACAGGCAGCTGCATTCGGCGGCGAGCCAGGGGGGGAAACGAAAAAGAGGCGGCCTTCTCAGAAGGCGAGGCTTGGAACACTTCTCAGAGGGCCAGAGGATTTCCGAGCCTTCTGAGATGGCCCGCCCCCTCTCACTTCCCCCCTGGGCGCGCTGCCGATACATAGACATAGGCAGCGCTGGAGGCGCGGCCCATGGGGAGCCCGGCGCCAACCCAAGAAGTCCGCGCGGACCCCTGACAGGCTCTGTTCGTGCAGGCTCTCCTTCTTTGACCTCTGGAGGCAGTCTAACCCAGATTCCCGACTCCCCTACCTCGACCCAGCCCTCGTCCGAGGCGGCCTCGGCGTCACGGGCCAGCGCCCGGGCGCGCGCGTCGCCGCCCAACGCCGCCGCCAGCAGCGTCTGCACCTCCGCGCGGTGCTCCAGCGCCGAGGGGCCTCTCGGGGTCAGCCGCTGATCGGGCGGTTCCGAGCCACTGGTGGCGTTCAGGCTTGAACGTCCGCGCTGGGGTCTCCGCCGCGTCGAGACGGCGCGGACCTCGTCGACGGCGTCCTCCTCCTCGTCCTCCTCGTCCTCCTCGTCTTCCTCGTCCTCCGCGTCCTCCTCGTCGTGGTCGTGGTCGTGGTCGTGGTCGTGGTCGTGGTCGTGGTCTTGGTCGTGGTCGTCCTCGTCTTCGTCCTCCTCTTCCTCCTCGTCGTCGTCCTCGTTGTCGTCGGCGCCGAGGCTTCGAAGGGCCTCCGAGGACCTACCAAAAGCTAGTTGCAAAATTTGGGGCGTCTGTGGTAATGTCGGCTCCCAGGGGCCTCCGGGAGCCTCCGAGAGGGCCTGCAGGGGCCTCGGGGCACCTCCAAGGAAGGGGACCTCCGGGGCTCTCTGGGAAGAGGATCGGGTGGCTGGTGCGGAGGGCGCGGCCAACGGATGGGCTCTCACGACGAACTCTTCGCTCCTCCTCCCCGTTGTTTACGCTCCTTCCTCCTTTCTCTCCTTCTCCTCCTTCCTGAGCCCGGTTTCTCCTCTTCCTCCCTCGTCTTTCCTCCCGTCGCCGCCTGCATCATCCCGATTCGTCTTCTACCTCCTTCCTCCTCCCTTGATCTCCATTATCCTGTTCTCCCTCCTCGCTTCGCCCTCCTCCCTCCCATCCATACTCTCATCTCTCATCCATCCTCGCTCCTTCCTCCTCCCCCATCTACTTCTATCTCCCCTCATCCCCACCCTCGCCTCCTCCAACTCCACTCCTCCTGACTCCTCCTCCTCCTCCTCCTCCTCATATTCGTTCCGTCTGTCATTCTTAACATCGGGCGTGCATCTCTCCTCGGGAACCAATCGGAAGGAAGTGTCGAACCACGCATGCTAAGCCGACCCCTTGAGAGTGTATCTCTCCGACCACTGAACATGTTTTTTTCAAGCGCACCTCGTGGGAGGAAAAGAAAGGAAAACTGAGGGGGCACGATACGGACAGCAAACCGACACATTGAACGTGTATCTCTCCTCCCCCTGCTCCCCTTGGCCATCCTCATCATGCTGCTCCCAACTCCAGACCCCGCAGGAAACCTCTGACGATCGCATAGGAAACGCCAGAAGAGGGCCGAAGAAAGTGTTTTCGTCCTCGTTGCCGTGGAGACGCCGTCGACCTCGTCGTCGTTTCTGCCGCAACGCCATCGTCGTCGCCGTCTTGCTATGAGAAAGAAGGGTCATCAAAGAGAAAAGCTCCAGACACGTCAACATTTCACTGAACGGCCCTTCATCCCGGGTCCGTCTCTGACGACCCCCAGGCCCGAGAGTTGCCCTGGGAAGCTGAAGTTACGACAGCACCCCGTACTGATCCGCGGGCCCCAATGTCAAGAGCTCCTTCCCAGAGACGGTTTCCGTTCCTTGTGCAGTCGGACCTAGGCCAGACGAGTACCACTCAAGAACATGAGACCCTCCGTCGGCCGATTCAAACAGAACATCCGAGGGTACCCTCCCCAAGATGCACAAGAACATCCAACAAATACGAAGAACATTAGGGTACCTCCCCGAACCGTATTTTCTGTATTTATGATGATGGTCTCGGGGCCCAGACAGCGGCCCTGGGAGGCCGAACCAACATCCAAACGCCTGCGACAATGGGGGAAAACGCGGGTCTGGGAAACCCGCCAAAACATCCAGAAGTTTACATGCCTGCAGTTGTTGTGTTTGGTTTTTTAAACAGAAAATCCACCCCCATAATAGGCACCCCGACGTGCGAACCCGCTTAGTAACCGCACCCAAGGAAGGAGTCGAACAGGGCAAGGCTGTTCAGTAAACGCCCCTGGCCGCGTAGTAAACGCACATTATCGGAGTCAGGGTGGTTTTTCCTTCCTTCATTTTTGCTGTTCGTATGCTGACTTGCTCGTTGGCCGCCTTGTTCCTCGTCCACGTCCGCTCGGGCTGCACTGCGCCCCCGCTTGTCGTTCTCCGCCGTGTGGGCATCGTCGGTTCCTCAATAATTTCCTCGTCCTCCGACCCCGCTGCCCACGAACCGGGCACGCGGATGGCACGGTGGATCCATGGTTGGGTCTCCACCCCGTCTTCTGAGGGGCGGGCCCCGCGCGCTCTCTACCTCTCTCTCGGCTTGACTTTGCCTCGTCGCTGCGCGCGAGGCCGCGGCGCCAACTGTGTGTGGTCGCCATGAGGGTGTTTTTCCCTAGCTAGGCTCTGCCTAGAGGGTTCTTAACATCTCTCTTAAAGGGGCCGGGCAGTGCACACCGCCCCGGGCGGTTCCCCCAGTGTCCGCCCCGCGGTTCCCCCAGTTACGTCCCCTTAGCTTAGCGATGATTATCTCATCTTAGCTTAGCTTATTTCATCTTAGCTTAGCTTAGCTTCATCTTAGCTCAGGTGTATCTTAGCTTAGCTTACCTTCATCTTAGCTTCGCTGAGCTTTATCATAGCAGAGCACAGCATAGCATAGCGTAGCATAGCGCAGCACAGCATATCATAGCATAGCCCAGCATAGCCCAGCATAGCATAGCATAGCATAGCATTGCGCAGCGCAGCACAGCACAGCGCAGCATAGCATAGCATAGCATATCATATCAGAGCATACCATATCATATCATATCGTAGCGCAGCTTAGCATAGCATAGCAGAGCAGAGCACAGCGCAGCATGATATAGCATAGCATAGCATAACATGGCATAGCATAGCGCAGCATAGCATAGCATAGCATAGCATAGCATAGCATAGCATAGCGCAGCATAGCATGGATATTATAGCATAGCATAGCAACTAATGCTGCTTTCCTAGGGGCTCCAACTTCTAGGTAGGATCGCACTGGGGTAAAATTAGCCTTTGGGACATGGCGCGCGCTACGCTCCCCCATAACGTAACGCTTCCCCCCCTCCCCCCCGTTGTGCCCCTCTGGCACTGCCATTGTGAAGCTCGCAGGCAACTGTGGTGCTTGCATGCTACTTCATATTTGCTGTCGTGTCCGAGGTCCTCGCAGGGCCTGCAGACGCGTGCAGAGGCCTTCAGAAACCTCCTTAGGCCTCCAGAGATCTCCCGAGACCTTCAGAGGCGGCCGTCGTCGTCGCCGTCGTCGTCGTCGTCGTCGTCGTCGTCGTCGTCGTCGTCGTCAATGGCGTCGTCTTCGTCGGTGTTGTCGGTGTCGTCGTTTCAGTCGTCGCCCTCGTCGACCTAGTCCCTGTCGACGTCGTCCTCATCCTCCTCGTCCTCGTGGTGGTCGTTGTCCTCTTCGTCGTCGTCGCCGCCGAGGGTCTCGAAGGGCCTCCAGAGGCCTCCAAGGGTCTTCGGCGACCTTCTTAGGCCTCCAGAGAACCCCAGAGATCTTCAGAGGCGGCCGTCGTCGTCACCGTCGTCATCGTCGTCCTCGTCCTCGTCCTCGTCCTCGACCCCGTCCTCGTCGTCGTCGTCTTGTCGTCATTGTCCCCGTCCTCGTCCTCGTCGTCCTCGTCGTCGTCGCCGTCGTTGTCGTCGCCGAGGGACCCGAAGGGCCTCCAAACGCCTTCAGAAGCGGCCGTCGTCCTCGTCCAAGTCGTCGTCCGTGTCTTCGTCCTCGTCCTCGTCGCCATCGTCGTCCTCGTCCTCGTCCCCGTCCTCGTGTTGTCCCTGTCATCGTCGTCGTTCTCGTCCTCCTCGTCGTGGTCTTCCTCGTCCTCGTCCTCATCGTCGTCGTCACCGTCGTCGTCCTCGTCCTCGTCCTCGTCCTCCTCGTCATCGTCGTCCTCGTCCTCGTCCTCCTCGTCCTCGTCCTCGTCCTCGTCCTCCTCGTCATCGTCGTCGTTGTCGCCAAAGGCCTCGAATGGCCTCCTGACGACTCCAAAGGCGGCCGTCGTCCTCGTCCCGGTCGTCGTCGAGATCGTCGTCGTCCGTGTCTTCGTCCAGGTCCTCGTCTTCATCGTCGTCCTCGTCCTTGTCCCCGTCCTCGTTTTGTCCCTGTCGTTGTCATCCTCGTCCTGGTCCGTGTCGTCGTCGTCGCCGTCGTCGTTGTCCTCATCCTCGTTGTCGTCGTCGCCGAGGGCCTCGAAGGACCTCTGGACGCCACCAGAGGTCTCCGCAAACCTCCTTAGGCTCAGGCTGGGCGACTGGTGCGCCTGCGGCCGCGGAAGCAGCACAGCCACAGCCCCAACCGCCTTTCTCCCTCTTCCCTCCCGCCCTCCCTCCCCTCCTCCCTCCCTCCTCCCTCCTCCTCCCTCCCGAGGAGCACAGCTGTAACGCTTGAGCCAACGTGCACCACCACCACCTCCTCCCTCCCCCCCCCCTCCCTCCCTCCCCCCACCGCCCGCCCGCCCGCCCCGCCCTCCCCTCCCCTCCCCTCCGCGAAGCGCGCCCCGATCGGCGAGCGCGTCCCGCCGAATGCTCCTCGCTCCGCGCTCTCTCGTCAGGGGCCCCGCGCCTGGGCGCTGGTCGCCAGCGCCGCCCCTGTGCGGCGCTGCCAGCGGAGGTTCCCGCTCGCGAGCGGCCTCTCCGAGGGACGGGGGGGGGGGGCTGGACGTTCTGGCGGCGCCTGCAGGTGGAGGATGGGGGAGAGGAGGGAGAGGAGGGAGGGGGAAGTGGCATAGACGAGCAGGGTGGTTGCGATTGCGTGTGATAGAGAAGGGGCCTAAGGAGGGGAGGGGGGAGGATGCAGGGGGGCAAGAGGATGAGGAAGGGGGATAATTAGAAGAGTAAGGGAGGATGATGTGAGGATGATGTGACTAGAGCATGAAACGAGGATGGTGGAACATATGTAGAAGAGGGGGAAGCTGGCGGATGGGAGGGGGGAAGGAGGAATAGTAGGATGGAGGAGGCAGGAACGAGCATGACATAGGAGGGCCCCACCTCATATTATTCTTATGAAATATCCTCCGCTGCCATGCTCAATCCTACCTTTCTTCACCTTCCTCCTCCTTCTCCTCCTCCTCCTCCTCTGCCTCCTCCGGGAACAAGGCCGGTTACAAACACTTCGGGCCGTTCACGAACTACTTCAGGCGGATTACAACCACCGAGCAAGGACCGATCGCAACGTGCTTGATTCCGATACACATTCTACACAACGGACGCTGGAATACGACCTCTGAAGAGCCTCTGAAAGGCTTCTGGAGCGCCTCTGAAGAGACTCTGAAGCGCTCTGCAGTGCACCTGTCCATCTTGAACCGCCATTGAGACGCAATTCAAGAGGTAGCCGTCACCCTTCGGGAGCGGACCCAAGTTAACAGGCCCAAAACATTAGGGATAGGGCGTCCTGTCTTCAGATGTTTCGAACCAGGCCACAAAGACTCAGTATCCACAATAAGAGCACGGGGACCTCAATGAAGCCACGCATTCATCGTGTTATTAGGGCTAGGGGTTCTTTTATGTTCGAAGAGCCGCGTTTTTCGGCGGCGAGCGAGGAGGGAAATGAGAAGGAGAAGGCCTTCTCAGAAGGCGGCGGGACTTCTCAGAAGCCCTCGCGCCTTCTGATCGATGATTGGCGTCTGCGGAGGAGCCTGGGAAGCCTTAACCTGGAGGTCGGAAAGGGGTGTGGCATAAAGGGGTGTGGTGCCAATCGTGGCAATGGGGATGCTATCTGCGATAAATAACATCGCCAGAGTCCCCTGTACATGAAATTGAAACCACACCCCTGTATCCTACCCCTTTCCCACCTCCAGCCTTACGAACCTTCTCAGAAGGCCGGGGAACTTCAGAGTTTTCCAAGAAGGCCCGCCCCTTCTCACTTCCCCTCCCCCCTCGCTCGCCGCCGCGTGTTGACCCGCCGTGGCTCCCGCTCCACGGGCCCAAGGAAGCGATCCAGCATATCATCCACGGCGGGTCCCCTGCACGGTGACCTGCGCTGTCCACGGCCTCCTGCGCTCAAATTCACCACGAGCGTGCTGGAACCTATCATCACTTTTGAAGGCCTCAGGATCGCAACTTTTTGGGAACCCCCCGAATCGGGTCCGAGAATCTTGTCAGACGATAGCGCCACATCGCCAATGCATCGCCCGTGCTTCAAGTCAGCGACGTCGACGGTGCATCGCCGACGTCGGCGCGGAGAACATCGGCTGCACGGTGAGCCGCCTCGCCGATGAATCGGGTCGGCGCGATCATCCGGCTACGGACTACGCTTGCCAAATCCCGCCAGCCCTCTTGGCAGGAGGTGATTTAACGCGATCCCTCTGCCAGGGCGAGAAGCATTTCATGATAAGTGGTTCACCATGCATTTAGGATGTCCAGAGTATCTAGCGGCCTTCGCTTTTGCGGCACGTGTGGACCATATAATTCTGGGGAATCCTGGAAACCTTCTGGAAAAATCCAAAGGACATCCTGGAAATAGCGTCATCATGACTTCTAACTACTGTGATTCTCCAACCCAGACCCCGACGCCATGACTTGTTTTTCATAATGTCGACCCCCCCATTCCCGGGAAACAATTTTCATAACGAATCATCTTGTTTGATGATCCGGAAGGCCACTGCGGGCCTCCAAAGGCAGAACATATGGAACAACCTCCCGTCTCGATTTGTCTCGTTGCCCGAGGGGGCCTGGGACCCCCCTCCTCCCCTGCGGGAAGAAGTCCATCGGTTCACACATGCTCCCTACCCCCTCCCCATGGGGGAGCACACATAGAGGCCTCCGAACTGGGGTCGGAGTAGGTGAGATGTCGGAGGATCTTGTCTCATCGCCGACTTACATCGGCGATGCATAGGCGATGCATCGGTGATGCACCAGCGATTCACCGTCGACGTCGGCGATGCATCGGCGACGTCGACGCGAAGCAGGTCGGGCCCCACATCGGGCCGCATCGGCGACGCATCAGCGATCCTTCGACCCCATCAGCTCGGACCCCATCTGGGAGGCCTAGAGGCCGGGCGGCCTCGCGCGGCCGCTTGCGCGCTGCAGGCTGGGCAGCGGCGTTGGCGAGCTCGGCCAAGGTCAGGTCGTCGCCACGCCGCGGCCTGATTTTTTGATGTCTTACCATCCAACGGGGCCCTGTGGCGAGAACAGAAGGCACGTCGCGGGAGAGACCGGGGGCGGGAGCGAACGGGAGGGTGGGAAAACAAGGAAGAAACACGGCAGCGGCGCGCCCAGGCAGCGCGCGGGATCTGGCGGCTGGCCACTGGCCCTGGCAACCGCCGTGCACCAAAATTAGTCCGGCGGCCCCGGGCGCTCCAGCAAACGCCGCCGCGCGGCCGCGCGCCAAGCCGCCTCGGTGCCCCCCACCCGCGGGGCGTCGAAGAGCAACAGCCCAACTGCGCGCGAGGCATCAACAAGGGCACCCGCCCGCTGCATGGGCGGCTCGCCAAGCGCTGCCACCGCGGGGCCCAACATGCGCACCAGCAAACCCTTGCAGGCCACCCAGGCAAACCCTTGGGAGGCGACGTTCCCCTGCCAAGCGCAACCCGCGAACAAGGCCCTCAGTGTGGCGGATGCCCCGAGACCGGGCGCCGCTGCCGGGGCCACCGCGGCCACGACAACGACATCCTTCCCTTCCCGGGCACGCGGCGGCGGCGGTGCCCTGCCGCAGTCCAGCGCCGCCGCGCTCGCGGGCCTCTTTGGCCGTGCCCGCGGTTGGCCTTCACCCCACCATGGCGAGCACGCGCTGCGCCGCCTGGAGGTCGACCAGCTGCCGCTCGCGCTCCTGGCGCAACGCCCGCGAGGACAGCTGGGCCTCGGCCGCCGCTCCCGCCAGGCGGTCCGCCGCGGCGTTGCCGGCGCGGTCCTCGGGCGACACGCCGTGCTCTGCGTCCTCGGAGGCGTCTGCGTGGCCATTAACCTATCGCGCCGTCAGGGCGCTGTTGCGGCAGGGAACGGCGATCAGCTCCCAGATGTCCGCGTGCGCGCGCAGTCGACAGGCCCGCGGGATGCTCCAGGCGGCCCGCCCCAGCGCCAATCCCCGACACGCTCTGGCGAGGAGTGGGTCGGTTGGGTGCCCGCAATCGCCATCCGAGGCCGGGAGCTGCAGGGGCCAACGCGCATGGTCCGCCAGCGCAACCAGCTGCGGGTGCTGCGGCGGCACCCTGGTGAGCGACGTCTCCGCCGGCAGCCGCTCGCGGACTGTCGCGCGCTGTCGCGCGCGCTAAGCCCTCGGCGGCCAACGCGGCGGCGCGGGCGTGCTCCAAGCAGGGGCACACCCAATAGATGTGTTCCTCCAAATCGTCACACGCCGCGCCACAGCGCGGACACGCCGCCCGGCGCCCCCGTTTCGCAGCCACCGCCGCACACGCGCCGGGGGCACAGCGGGGGCACTGTTGGGGGAGGGGGCAAGAGTGAGGAACGAGACAAGAACGGGGGGGCGAGAAAGGGGAGAGGAAAAGGGGGGGGAACGCGATGGGGGGAGGGCGGGACTCAGAGAGGATGGAGGGCGGGGAGGAGGAGAGGAGGAGGAGGAGGAGGAGGAGGAGGAGGAGGAGGAGGAGGAGGAGGAGGAGGAGGAAGAGGAGGAGGAGGAGGAGGAGGAGGAGGAGGAGGAGGAGGAGGAGGAGGAGGAGGAGGAGGGAGGAGGAGGAGAGGAGGAGGGAGGAGGAGGAGGAGGAAAAAGGAGATGGAGGAGGAGGAGGAGGAGGAGGAGGAGCAGGAGAGGAGGGAGGAGGAGGAGGGCGGAAGACGGCGGAGAAGGAGGAGGGAGGAGGGAGGAGGGAGGAGGGAGGAGGAGGAGAGGAGGAGGAGGAGGAAGAGGAGGAGGAAAAGGACCCGCGCCAAAGGGGGGGGAGAGAGAGGCCCCAGTGTCCTGGAAGCCGCCGATGAGCACCAGCACCCCCTTTAGGCTCTGAGCAGCTCAGCAGCTACTCTAGATATGCGACCATTGGTGCGCAGCCGAGAATTGACGAGGCCGGCCGTGCGAGAGGGGGAAGGAGGAAGAGACGAGGCACGGAGCGACTGAAAAGTGGAGTGCAGACAGTCGATAGCAATTCAGTGAGACAAAAAGGCCTCACGATTCGAGGGGGGGAAATGGGGGAGGAGGAAGGAATAGAGCGGGTTGCCATCTCTGTTCTCCAGGAGCAGACCGAGGGCATTGGTAAGCACATTCTTCGCAATAGGACAAACCATAGAATGCAATCTGTCATGCCCACCTATTGCGTAGCACCGGAACTTACACCCTCCCGCCCCTCCCGCACCACGGCGACACCGACGAGTGGCATTCCAAGCGTTGAAAAGAGACTTGCGCAAAAAAAGTGGCCACATAGCCCGGAACATGACGACTCAATGCATTTAGCCGAATGATACACAAGTCTGCATCGCTCATACTGAACGCGCCCCACTTTTGAAGACGAGGAGCAATAATGCCAGCGGTGGCGGGGAAGGGGACAGGCACGACGGAGAACATCATGCCCGTGAGACAGAACTTTTTTTGCGGGGAGATCGTTCGGGCGACGAAGAATGTTGTTGAAATTGTCGCACACAGAAATCATCTTCATGATGACAGAGTGTTTAGCCATCCTGTGTGTACGCCATGTTATGCATATGTCAGTAGTCCTCCCAAACTTGCAATGCATTAATAACGGTGGAACATCTCGCTACGGATAGCTGCGCGCAGCATACAGGAATGTGCCCAACCTTCACGCCGATACTTGATGACCAAGGATCTTCAAATCAAACATCGCGAGCGGGGGCAAGCTATGGCGGGGGGCGCAGGTGAGTTGTTGCTGGAGGACAGTGCACAAGGACAACATGAGAAACCATTGGGAGGGCATAGATATTGTAACATGAAATGTTGGGCGACAGCCCACATTCCATATATTTAATGCGCAGACACCGCTCCTTAAGTTTGGCTAATGCAAGGCTCCAGGATCTGGATGCACTGGAAATAATGATCACAAATCCTGAATGCAACCAGTCGGGCGATACTCTGAAACTACGCACGCGAATGCCAGCATCCCTAGACTGCCTGAGCGCGTTCTGGCATGTGTGCTCATCAGGAGAGACAAGCTGGCATTCTTTCAAGTTCAATAGCAGACCTGCGCCGCCCCGACTCTGTGCCAGCTCTCGAACAATGCGCGGCAGCAGGCTGACGAGGTCGCTGGGCGACGCGGCCAGGTCGTCTGCAAAAAAACATTGCAGACAATAGATGCTAACAGCGACGCCTCCCGCAGTTCCCTAATCACAGGGCCGAAGCACAGGCTGAATATGAAACCGCGGAGCGGGCAGCCCTGTTTCACACCACGCAATAGTTTAATCTTTATATATATATGGGTTCAGATCCAGAGAAGCCAACCGCCATTAACATGTTTTCATATAGAGCCATCATACTTAGAACGATAAACTCGGGATGCCACATGCGCGCAGGACTGCCCGCGTGTAGGTATGAACTACACTCGAAAACGCTGCTCGCAGGTAAAAAAGAGCAGCACCTGCTCGACGGGCGCCGCAGACGGCATTGCCGAGGAGCAGCGTGGCGTCTACTTCGATAAGGTTATGAATAAGTTGCCTCCCTCTAAGGATGCCACGCCGTGCGCTCGCCGTTCGATCACCGGCAACGTTCTACAGTGGCCAAGCAATGCATGCACTAATCATATTGTTGTCTGTGTTAGATAAGCATAATGGTCTAGTGTTTCCAGCCATCCTCGCATCCATCTCCCCATCCATTCCATTCCCCTTGAGTTGAAAAGGCGGCAGAGCTGTCATTGCAACCTGGTGGAAGCGCCTGCTCGCGCACCTGCTCGGGGCAAACGGCGCGCGGGCACTCGACTCCTACTTCGCCGCGCGCGCGCCAAGCCGAGTATAGGGGCGCAATCGGGACCAGGAGATGAATCTTTACGGATTTCAACGATGTCAGCAATAATGCGTTCATGGACAACCAAAAGCTAAATCGCACCGGAGTCCGAACGATATTGAACGTCATCTCGAGGGGCCGGAGTAATACGCGAAACGAGGTCAGCGATCATCGCCGAGTCGGCCCCCCTCTCCTCAAAGACGGCACCCCAGTGAACAGCCGGAAGCCTAGCGCAGACATCCGGATCGCTGTGCGCGTTGCCGTTCCCATCGGCAACCTGTTGTAAAAAGATTTGCCTACCTGATTTCTTCCGCGTCTGAGTCGCCCCCCTGATCCGAGCTAGCTGCTGCGCGGCACGCGTGCCGCGACTGTCCGAGGACACGGCGGCGTCGCGACGCACCTCAGCTTCTCTGGACTGGCGGATCTGACTCGTCAGTCGCGCGAAGAGATCATCAAAGCCGTCGCGGTCTGTCCGCCATAGCCCCTGAGAGTCGCAGAACCTGCGCAGGCCACTTAACCCCGCGAGGCCCTTCAAGGTCTCGCGAAAATCCCCAGAGCGGACCCCTCTCAAGACGGTCAGCATGCAAGACAGTTTCTCTGCAGGAGTACGGGCGCCCCTTTCAAACACCCAGTCCTTAACTCGAAGCGCAACTACCTGCATCGCTTCTTCGACCTCTGCATGCCCCATGCTGGCGTCGCTGGCCATAACATCAGGACCCAAGATCTCCTGGATCATCCGGGTAAGCTGGGGGCGCCTTGCAGACCGCGTCGGGATGCCCGCGGCGCCAGTAGGCCGCCAAGCAGCCAACGAGAGGAAATCAAGAGCCTGGTCGGATGGTGCAGCCACGTCTGCAAATGGCCAGACCGCACCCGACCGAGGACACAAGTCCAAGATGTCCTGTGATGGAAGTAGCGTGAAAATGCGGTCAACCCTGCCGAGCGATACTTGTGGCAACTCTAAATCCTCCTCTCAGTCAAAACGACGGACGAGTCGATGAGTATCTCTCTCCTGCATCACCTCGCAGAGCACGCCTAACTGCCGATTGAAGGCAGCCGCTAGACGCGATCCGACAGGGCCATCGGCTCCCGAGTCAGCGTGAGATCTAGCTTCCGCTAATGCCATAACATTCGAGTCATCCATGGCGACAGCCCCGAGAGAGCGAATAGAGGAAAGAAGAGCACAACGCATGCGAGCAAAGACGCCCGTGACTTCCCATTCCGGCGAATCAGGGACTACACGCGCAT